AGAAAATATTTTTTAAACATTAAAGTGAAAAATGACTTATACTTTAGGAGTAAAAGTGCATTTACCCTAATTTTGTTTTTTTACTCCAATGCTATACTTACCATTTATTTTAACTATTTATAATTATGGAAAATTATTATTTGATTTGAGAGGGTAATTTGGGTAGATAAATTGGGCGGAGCTAGATGAAATCCTCTTTGGAAGTTGGGCCACGCAATGGGCCGAGATAAGAGCTGGTGTAGTTCAATCTTGGGTTAAAGCAGACGCTAGGCCGGTTAGAGATGCATGCTAGGTCCTAGAGCTAGCTTTAGCGGACCGAGGTGTTGTCAATTAAGAGGGCCAAGCTATGTGTAGCTCAGCCAGGTGCCATCTGTAGCCAAGGTTATCACGACTTTGCCAAGGGGAGTACAAAGCCGAGATAACTCGGTTGACCGCAATGACAGCCTAGCGAAAGAGTTTGAACCATCTCATTTAGTTGGTAGTGAGAAGGGTATTCTAAGGATAAACATTATTCTTTAAGATTGTAATCCTAGGAAGATTTTGTTAGGGAGAGTTAGAGTTCTAATAGGATTGTGCCAGGTGGAATCTATAAAAGTTCATGACAAAACTTATGAACAGGTATTACAATTCATACTCCCAAATTCACAGAGTGTTTGTGCCTATTGTCTATTTGCTGACTTCGGCATCGGAGGGGTTTCCGACACACTCTCGCTGGTTAGCTTACATGGCGGTATTTGTCGCTCTCTCTCATGATGAATCTCATAAGAAGAAAGACGAGTTTCACAAGTGGAGATGAGCTTCTCTGTTGATCTGAAACCCATATTCACAAGTTTCATGGTGGTCTCTCTCTCTCTCTCTCTATCTCTCTCTCTTGATCTATCAAACTTTAAGAAATTTTCTTATTCGAACCTGTGTTCCCGGATAAGTTTTGGCCCTGTGTTACCAAACAAATGACTGATGGATAAATTCTATTTTATCTTAAAGTTACTTTTAATTAAGTTTCGATTTGAATCCATATCTTGGGTGATTTTAGACCTTGCAGAACATGAACTTAGGTAATATTTAAGAGTAACGGTGAGTAGTGCACTTTAGTTTGAGGTTACTTAGTTCCTATTCTTTAGTATTTTTAAATTAGTAGTGACGTGTAGTTTTCATACTTGGTTCAGGGCACTAGTTGGACTTTTATACTCTATTCTAGGATTACATTATTTCGTTTCCAGGTGAATAGTTTCATGCTACATATTTTTATAAATGTTCCCCTACCCTGAACTGTTGGAAAATTTAATTGTTGTTTCAAGACTAAACTGTTTTGATAAATTATTATATTATCAATAGAATTAAATTATTTCTGAAACAGGTGTGCACTTGACATACTGTAAATTATTTGTTTTGGTCTCATGTTTATAATGGGGAACTACAATGTTTTGTGAAACTAATGTGTATTGATTATTGGGATCATCTGTGTATTTAGTCCAGAAAAATCATTCCATTGTGTGTGGTGACTTTGACCACTAGAAAACAAATCCGGGTAGGGCCGTGATGACTCAAGTGCTCAACGATTGTAAGGGAAAGACCTAGGTTAAGCTAGGTGACCTTCAATCAGATCGTCTTAGAGAAAAGGCCCAGGTTGCCACCCTGAGAATGACTCTTAGGTCAGTATTGGATCCAATGGGGCTTATAGCCTTGAGAACTGTGTGGCATCTTACTTGTTATTTCTTGGTACCTAGAAAATTATTGGTGTTCATGTTGTAATCTGTTTTAAGTGGAAAATGTCATTTATCATATTCTTGAGAGACATGAGTATTTTAATTGTTGAACTGTGGAACCTTCTTTTTTGAAACATATTTTCTTAACCAAACTATATGCCAATCTAGTTCCTATGATACATATCTTATTTTGAAATTGAACCCTGTTTTCAAAATTGTATTTACTATCCATGTTGGTACTCACTGAGCTATCGGCTGACTTAGTGTAGACACCCCATTTTTGACCGACCTTAAGACTCAGACGTCACCAATTGAGCGCTTGGTGATGTTGCATATCGCGCTCGTTCAGAAGTCTCAGAGTCGCGGTCGTGAGCCTTGCCTCCGAATTTCCGAACCCTCTTCTGTGCCTTGCCTCGGTTTGCGAACCAGACTCGGTTTTCTCTGTTTCTTTTCCTAAGGGGAGGGAGAGGTCCCGTATACCATCTCTCAGTGGCCGTGGGCTACATTTTGTGGCTGTAGGCCATTTTGCCCATTTCAGAGCCCAGTTCCCGGTTTTCGGAGCCGTCAGGCCGTGTGCCTCGGTTCGGGACTGCTTAACCATCTCCTATTGCCCCGGTTTTTGGCATACTTCTTGTTTACTCCCTTTTGAGGGACATTGAGGTCTGAGAGACCCACTTCATGGTCGAATACCACTTTCGGTGCTTAACAGGCAGTTTCCGGGGCCCCAAACTGCGTGTTTTGGCCCCCGAGCATTCGTTTTGCATCTGTTTTCGTTCATTTTTGGCAGGTACCTCTGTTTTATCACCAGGAAGGTCACTGGAGGGTGGGAGGCCAGCAATTATCTTGGCAACCAGTTATATTCCATTTTCGCCCTCCGACACCCGTTTTTCTCACTTCCGAGCCAATGTTGAACACCTTGGGGCCACTTTCTTCAACCCCAAACCACATATTTGTGTTGTACACACATGGGAGGATCCTAATATCATATGGCCGGCCAGAAATTCCATTTGACCCTTTTGAACCCCTCTTAAAATTGGCATATTCTCTCTCCTGTTTTACAATTTCCAAATTCGAATCATAGGGTTATGATGAGGGGACCTGGGAGGACACCTTTATGTGGTGGCCGGCCACTAAATCTACTTGACCTTTTTGACCCCTAGCCGGCCGGCTAGGGGGGGTGGCCGGCCGGCCACTTGCAACACCAAAAGGTGGCCGGTCATGATCCTCACAAAATGCACTTTACAGCTGTATAGCTGTTTCCCCCAGAAAATATCTTCATCCGGGAGACACCTTTTGGGGAAAGGACTTGGTCATTTTCCCCCACCCTTTCCCTCCATACTCCCCCTCTCCTTGATCCTTATAACCAGCTGCCAACATTTGTTTTAGGGGTTAGAAAAAATTGCTTCAAGCATAGGCATCCAAATCTCCTTCTATCTCTCTCATTTCTCAAAAACTCCTAAGTTCTACCCCATTCCTTCATCACCACCAAGCACCACCACCACCACTCCATTTTCAGCAACATGGGAAGCTTTCCAGCAGCTAAGAGGCACCACTTCTCAAAGCCAAGAAGCAACAAAAGACTTGTCTTCAAGGGTGAGTACCATTTCCCCCTTTTTTGAGCTTATTTTTGCAACATTTCTTAGCCATATATGCTTTTTGCTTTGAGCTCCGGCCATAACTGAAAGTGGCCTTCTTTTGAGTTCTTTTTCACTTTTTCTTAAGGGCTCAACCCTGTTTGAGCCCCCCATCTTGCACTTGCTTCAATATCTTCCTTGAATGCTATTTTCTTGCATGCTTTGGCAGCCCATTATGATTCCATTTTTGGGCATTTTACAGAACTAAAAATAGTCTTATTTTGAGCCCCTCTTCAACATTGAAGAAGGGCTCATCAGTGTTTGGGACCTCCATGTGCCACTTCATGTTATATCCCCTCTTTGGTCCCCATTTTTGCATGCTTTGGCAGCCCATTATGCTTCCATTTTTGGTCATTTTACAGAACTGAAAATAGTCTTATTTTGGCCCATTATTAATGTTTCATTAAGGGCCTTTGGCTGTTTGATGGATATTTAGTATACTTTGTGCTTTGGCCATCTTTTGGCCCATTTTCTTGCATAAGAGTTAGCCATATCTATGTTTGTTTTTGGGGTTTTTACAGTTCTGTAAATGTGCATATTTTGGGCCCCTCTTCAATGTTGTTGAAGGGCCCTAACCTGTTTGGAGTCATCAGCTGTGAGTTGCTTCATAATCTCATATTTAGGGCCATTTTTGCATACTAGATTTGCCCTATTTATGTTTGCTGTTTGGCCATGCTTTGAATTGGAAAAATGTTTATTTTGGGGCTGCCTTGCTACTGTCTATTCATTGCATGTCCATATTGTGCATGTTTGGTATAGCTATAGGCCATTTCGGGTGCCAAAATTCGTGTTTCGGGACAATTCCATGCATCGGGCGCACTTTCGCCTCATTTCGGGACTGTTTTCCCCCACATTTCAGTGCTGAAACTCCATTAGCATGTTCGCATATCACTTTCCATGTCATTTGCATTGCATATGCCATTGTCTCGGTTTGCGTGCCCGTGTGCACGCATTTCGAGGCACTTCATTTTCATGCATCGGCCTCTTATGTGAGTGTGGCTGAGGCTCTCTCATGTTAGTGTAAGCCCATATCATATTTCTCTGTCATTTGCATTATGTATGTCATTTTCTCAGTTTGCGTGCCCGTGTGCACGCATTTCGAGGCATCTCATTTTCACAGCATAGTGCATACTAGGTTGTATCTTAGATCGCATTCATGCATTTCCTCGGCTTGCGTGCCCGTGTGCATGCATTTCGAGGCATGTCATTCCATAGCATTGTGTATGTTAGGATTGTATCTTAGTTGCATTTCAAATTCAAACTCATTTGTTCAAACCCTTATATCTCATTCGTTGTAACTTCGTTTCGTCTCATTTTCATGTTGTTGAATTCACCTCATGACCTAATTTTCATTCCACTCCTCATATACCTTATTCCATCTCTTTTTACGTACCGTCAGAGCTCCGAAAGTTGGTTAAAAATAAAAATTTTCTCTCTTTGGGCAAAATTTTCATATTCAAATCTACATGTTCAAACCCTTGTATCTCTCTCGTCGTAACTCCGTTTCACCTCATTTTCACATCATTAGATTCAACTCATGGCTTAGTTTTTATTCCACCCCTCAAACGCCTTATTCCACCTCTTTTTGCATGCAGTCGAAGCTCCTAAAGTTGGCCAAAAATAAGTTTTTTTTCTCTCTCTCTCTTTTTTTTTTCCTTTCTTTCTTCTTCCTCCTCTTTTACTTCATTTCTTGGATCATCACTTCATTCATTGCCAAATATCAATACCAAAAGACTATCTTCTTCGACTCCAGCTCGTGTCAAATTCCGACAACTCAAACTTGTCGCCGCCTATACCACCTCTGTTTGTGCTAACATGGCTTCATCTACATCACTACACGAGGTTTTGGGGATTCCGATGAATGCCACCAGCAACGAAATCAAGGCAGCGTACCGAAAATTGGCGAGGACGTGTCATCCTGATGTGGCAATGGTGAATCGGAGAGACAAGTCGGCCAATGAATTCATGAAGATTCATGCCGCTTACTCGACCCTGTCAGATCCAGATAAACGTGCCGTTTATGACCGTGATCTTTTTAGGTTACGTCACAGGTTTGGCTCTTCATCTGCCACGTTAGCTGCCATGGCGACTGCCACGTCAATGTCGGAATTTTCGGGCCATTATCCACGCCGAAATTGGGAGTCCGACCAGTGCTGGTAGTGGTATAGAATGACATTTTTTCTAACAGCAAGACACTGTGTTTTTGGAATTTTTTATTTTTTATTTTTTTAAATTTTTAGTATTGCCTTGGTATAGTTTTTCTCTAGTGGATTTTGTCGTTTTTATATTTATTTTTGTACAGATTTGTAGTGTTTGTAGAAGACTTGAACAGGATTCTGTGGCATTATTATATATATATATATATATATTATTAAATTATATTTTGAAGACCCACATACTTTAAAGATTGAGAATTATTAAAACAAGATAAGAAAAGAAAATTTAGAACAAAGCATCTTAGCCGAAAAGTTATCTTCATCCCAGGAATGATATGAGAGAAATATTTGTTGAACTAATT